TAACCCCAACGTGGGCAGTGGCTACAGTTTGTTTCATCTTGATTTTGATCTCCATCATTATAGAGCATTTGCTTCATCTTTTAGCTAAGGTATGTTATGTAGCATAAGCATAATATCACTATGCATGAATAGGGATGTCAATGGGGTCCCGTGGGGTAGGGGAGTCCCTCTCGGTCCCCCATCCCCGCAAATGGTAAAGACGGGGATCCCTGCGAGAATTTTTAACGGGAGGTAGATTTTACTCCCCATTCTTGTTCTCTGCAGGAATGGGGATCCCCGTCAATTAATATTAAATTATAAATTTTTTTATCTTTTACATATAATTAATTAATATTCAATTATAATAAATAAAATTCTAAAAATTTAAATACAATTAACTAAAATTTTTAAATATAAAATCAAATATAAATTGTCCAAATATAAATAAAAATGAATTCAACATAAATAATTAAATCAACAATTAACAAATTTATTCCAAACATAAATAAAGATTAATCCAAGCTAAACTAAAACATAAGCAAAAATTAAACCAACAATGGAGGGGAAGGGGAAAATGAAAATTGAGAAATGAATTAGGGTTAAGGTTAAATGTAAATAGGGAAATGAATTGGGTTAATTTTTATGGATTGGATTGGGTTGGGTTAGATAAAATTGGATTAAGTTTAATTTTGATTGAATTGAGTTTGAACTTGAGTTTGGGTTTGGGTTTGTGTTTGGATTTGAATTTGGGTTTGAGTTTAAAAGATGAATTAAATTTAAAATAAAATTAATTTATGGCCCGGAGATAGGGAACAAAAATAAACTATACTACCTTGGGTTTGGATTTGATTTTTGTTTTAATTTTTGCGGGGATTGGGATCCCCACAGGGTCCCACGAGATAGGGAAAATTTCCCGCGAAATTTCACGAGAGAAAAATGCTCCCCATCCCTACCCCACGAGGAGGAATATTCCTCCCCGTCCCATCCCCGTGACGGGGATCCCTACGGGGATCGGGCGAAATTGCCATCCCCTAGGAAGAGCATCAAAAAATGGGCTCCTTTCATGGGTTTGATGTGGGCAACAACATGTGAATATGGGCCTTTTGTTCTATAATGGATAAATAGTTACTCAT